TGGCTGGTGTCGGTCCAGCCATCGCCTAAGGGAGTCCCTACCTGCTCGCAGGCCTCACCTGGGCTGATCGGCACCTGGATGCGGTTAGCGGAGGGGAAAGGCGGTTAGCAGCACTGCTGAGCAAGGTGGCTGTGGGTACGGAGGAAGGTTTAAAAGAAGGTGCAGTGGTCAGGGACTTCGGTACCTGGGAAGAGGGATTGCTGGAGAGAAGAGGACTTTCATCGCCTAAGGGAGTCCCTACCTGCTCGCAGGCCTCACCTGGGCTGATCGGCACCTGGATGCGGTTAGCGGAGGGGAAAGGCGGTTAGCAGCACTGCTGAGCAAGGTGGCTGTGGGTACGGAGGAAGGTTTAAAAGAAGGTGCAGTGGTCAGGGACTTCGGTACCTGGGAAGAGGGATTGCTGGAGAGAAGAGGACTTTGCCCCCTAAGGCAGGAGAGCTAAGGGGTTTTGGTCGGAAGAAAAGTGGTCAGCCTGGGTTTGTGAGGAGGCCATGCCATGGGGCTGAGGGCTGGCCCAGGTTTCTGCTCAGAATGTCTAGTCAATACAGGCAAATCCTCTGTTAGATCAGAGGTGATGTTAGGTTGACTATTAGACTGATTTTCATTTTCAGTATGGAAGAAATAGCATGTTGTGTTCTTTCCCAAGCAGTGTTGGTCACAAACCTGGTAGGTGTGTTGGTGACTGGTTCTTTTAGTACAGCTCAGAAAGGCCCTCTAGAGAAGTTGAACTTGATGTACTGGAATGCACCTTTGTGACTGCTTCCAAGCTGAGTGAACTTAACCTCACACCTGTGTCTACACAGCAAGTTTTTGAGAAACTGCTAGATCCCACGTGATGCATCTTCCCAGAAAGGGCAGTCACCAGCATATGCCCATTGCTTTCTTCAGTTGAGCAGAGCCATGTTTTCTAGCTCGTGCTTAGCCCTGATTCTGTGGCATGTGAAAGGCACCACTGGTGAGGGTAGGAGGAGTTTGATGTTTCTTTGTTTCCCCTCTCCTACATCTCGTGTTTCGTGCAGTTTCACACTGTCAGGTTCATCATTTGCATATCATCTGAATGTCAGGTGGTGCTGCACAAGTGTGAGTGGGAGCAGAAGTGAAGGGCTTTGCTACCAGACAATTCAAAGAGGTCCTTGCTTCCTTTTCACCTAAGCTGGAATTCTTGGTTCTGCTCTGCCTCCTTTCAGACCCAGAACTTATGTTTGTATGTGCGCAATGTTTGATGTGCATATGCCAGATCTGCCCTGCTACATTGCAGAGGTGGGCCTGGTCTGTTCTGGGTTCCCTGGAGTGGTCAGGACACGGGTTTATAAATAAATTGGTGTAAGAGTAGCCACTTTGAAATCTCTGTGTCTTGGACTGGGAACTGCTCCGTAAGTTGTAAGCTCAGTTCTCAGTGGTACCATAGGCTGCTAGACAAGATGTGTGATCACCTTAGAATATGTTCTAGATTTCATGAGACAAACATGTTTTGCTTATATATTGATGTCTGTTTCCCAAATTATCATCAAATGGGTTTCATTAGCTACAAGTGTTGACTGAGGAATCTGGGCTTAAGCCCCCATTCAGAAACACCCACAGTGCCTGAGCATCCCTGCCTTGGCCTGTGACGATGAAACCTTTGATGTGATCATTCACCTCCTGAATTAATCTTCTAGGTTAGCAGGTGGGATGCACTAACACTGTGAACTGAGAAGCCAGAAAAACTTGAAAGAACTACTTTACAGAAGATGATTTAATTCAAACAAAGATCAGTAACAACAGATAAATAAGTATGTCCAATTTTGGGGAAGGATTCACAGGACTTCTCTGTCTCAGGTGAATTATGGGATGTGTTGATCTCCAAGGGAAGACAAAGGGAAATCTTATTTGTAGCAAAATCTGTCCTATAGAAGCTACGATTTTCCAAAATTAAGTGCTCCTTCTAATATGATAGTATTTTCAGCAGTCATACCTGTGTACCTCAGATTCCACAGAGAGACTCCAATCACCAGAATAATACAACACTAGGAGGATAAAAACCAAACAAACAAAAACCCAAACCAAGAAACCCCCCTACAAACCAACCTACAGTAGTTTGTAAAACCCCATACCAATCCCTATATATATATGCCACAGCTATAATGTAATATTTGGGTTTTTACTGAATTAATGAGTTTTCTGTGTGAAAATTTAAGGCTCATTTCTCATTATTTCAATGATTTTCTTATACATTTTCTCAGTTGCATCAAGGCCCCAGATGAAGTCAAGGTGTCCCCAAGCAGGAAAATGGTCATGGTAAATGAGATTAGTAATCTGAGGAAGTAGCTTGGCCATGTCCTTTGGATCTGCAAATTTGTCCCGTCCCCCGCTCCAGACAGCAGTTGGAATGTTTATCTTCTCTATCTGGTACACAGGAGGAGTGGACTGTAAGAAAGGGAGGAGAGCTGAGTGAGTGCTGTTGTATCCAAAATAGTGTTTAGAGGAGGGATTCTGTGCAGGCACCTCTCTCTTTCCTTTCTGCACTGGTCCAGGCCAGCCTCTGCAGTGTCTGTTTCCCAACCACCTTCCCTGCCTACAGTGAAAGGGAATGCTCCATCCTGCTCCTCTAGTGCCTGGCTATAAATGGCCTTGCAGTCTGACACCTGGTTGTGCCCTCCAGAGGGGAAAGAGCAGTGTTTGTGTTTATGATGCCAGGCCTTGGAGTTTACCCATATGTTTCCTTAGGGCGGGAAGATCTTCCAGTTTTGTAATGGCATGGAGTGCAACTGTTGGTCTTAGTTGTTTTGCTTGTGAATTAAGTGGCAAGGAAATACTTTGACCATGTGTAATTTTACCCTAGAAAATTTCTCAGATGGTGTGCATGGACAGAAGTGACCAAGTCTATCTCTGGAGCCTTCCTGTCCGTGGAAAGCAGCTTGCCCTGGTACAGCACGAGACACTGCAAGTCAAATGTGCTGCTTCAACAAAATCATTGTCAGCCAATTGGAGAGATTGCTGCAGCTCTGAGGTTCACTTCACCTCTCAACAGAAAGGCAGACTTTGAGGATTTGTGCTGAAATGAAGAGCTCCATAGGAATCCCCTCTTGAGTGTAGCTCTGAGTCATTTTAGAATGGCAGGTAAATGGATATGTCATTGGACACATCCCTGCATCAGTAGGGGAGATAAACTGAACTTGTGTTAGCTGTCTGCAAAGAGCTACGTCTTGTCTTCAAATAGGGTTTTGCACTTATGAGTGTTAGGTTACAGTGAAACATTAGATCAGAGCACTCTCTCCCTCTTTCAGTGTCACGCAAGGTGTTAAAAATCTGAATGTTTCTGTTCTTAGTTTTGCCAAGGCTCAAGGATGTGTTTTCAGGAAATCCCACATTGCCTTACCTGGTTGTATTTCCTAATGTTTTCCTTAGAGCCATAGTCATAAGCTTGAAATTGGCCTGCGTATGAAATCTGTTAAAAGAACAGTTAAAATGTAAGTGTTAAGAGAGCAAGAGGCGGAGATCAGGACACGTTTTCCTGCCTGTGATTGAAGCCAAGGCTCAGGCAGTGGACTATGAGTTACTCCCACTCCTTCCTCTAGTTGCAAGCTTTCAGGGATACTGAGGATTGATTGCCAGGCGAGTGGCTTCATTGCCTTTCTCCTTGCTAATGTTCTCTCCTCATCCTCAGCTGCCATCCTTGCTATGTTTCTTGGCTGGAGCTCTTTTGTCTTGTTCTGATTCAGACCATGAGCAGAATAATTTCAGATCTGCCAGGGCATATCTGGAAACCCACAATTAGAAAACTGGAATCCAGGATCTGGACAGTGGCTCAAACAAAGACAATGACTAAAAGAGATTTGGAAAAAGCTGGCTGTTGGAATATCCCTGTAGAGCAACATTGCTTGTAACGTACTCTGTTATTATAAGGCAGTTCCCCAGTTTGCTGTTGTGCCAGTAGAAGGGTTTGTGTGGTTAACTGGCTTTGGGAAGTGATCCAGGCTGCAATTACCCCCTGGGAAAAAAAACTTTAACCTGGAACACTGCTTTGGCTCATCTCCTGGCTGCTCATGTTTCCACTATCTTTCAAGTGCCTAGACTGCTCACGTTCACTTCTGTAGGTTTTAAGGCAAATGTCCTCATAAAAAAAATAAGAAGGCTGGAAGCCAACAGAGCCCAACACACAGAGAGACCTGGTGCACCCTGGGGAAACCTCAGTGCCTGATACCAAGGGGACAATTCAGGTAATGGTCTGGTGACCTTTGGGAAACTGCTTCCTTCCTCCATGGCAGGTGCTCAGGGAGGGGGTGAGAAGACATGATCAGCCTTTTCCCAGATCCATCACCTCTGGACTTCCCTGCAGTTTGCTGGGTGCTCTAAAGCAGTACTAAGAGTCTGGTTATAAGTTAGCAGGCAGATATACCTGATGCCAGTGAAGAGCGTTCTGTACTGAACTTCCAGCAGGCGAATGTCCTACATATGTATCTATTCGACTCTGGAGAGAAAGCATTACAAAGGTAGGTATTAAAGCTGTGAGGGACCTGAGCAACATAGTGTTGCTGTTTAAAAAACCTCTTTTAGTTGGATACTGTTCAAATATTAGACAGAAAACTGAGAAATGGACTCATGAACAGCTGGGATATAGCATGTGCACTCTTTCTCCATAGAGGTGAATATTTTCCATGAAGAAAGATTGTAAGTTTCTGTCTTTCAGCAACAGTAGGGAAAAACCTTCCAGTCCTTACAGAGTATATTCCTCACCTCACATGAAACCCTCATGCATGTCCAAGTCTTTTGAAGATTTGGTTTTCTCTTCATTTTACTCCTAGGGCTAAAGAAGCCAGCTTATAAAACCTACTGTTTTTTCTTCTGTTTGCATTTTTAAAGTTCTGTTAGGTAGATTTCTAACTCCATCTTCCTGAATTCCTTGTCAGGCTTGCTATCTTGCCCTGACAACCACATTCATGACTTAACCCTTATCAGGAAAGCTCTTTAGCAGTTTATCTCTGCATTTCAAAAGGGCTGCAATGCTTGTAATTGCTTTTGCATTGAAC